ATGGCCAACTTGACATCACTCATGCACACTCAGTCACATGCCCACCACCCCCAAGCCATGTAGCAAAAACTTTTGGAACTCCTATGAAAGGGGGAGAGGGGGGAAACCTCCCAAAAATAGACAACTGGAGGATTAAGGGTCGAAATTAGGGAGATCGGAGAAGGTAGGACAGAGAGGAATCCAGTAGAAAGCTATCACACATTGCGGAAAGAACTTTGGGAGATCAGTGGAAGCAAGACAGAGGGGAATCCAGTAGAAAGCTAACACACGCTGGGGAAAGAACTTTGGGAGATCGGAGGAGGCAAGACAGAGGGAATCCAGGAGAAAACTCCTGAGCTTGCCTCTGCTGTCTGGTAGATTGTGCCACTGAACCTCTCCAGTGGGTGGGGATGAGCGTGGAGCGCAGGGCCGGGGCAGGCATTCCGGAAGTTACTTCCGGGTCCATTTCACCATTCGGTTCTCCTGATCTAGTGCGAACCGGCAGAAACCCACCACTGATCTAATTGGTACCTTTATGATTCTGTAATGTGCAATGGAAGCCTGAAAGTCATGTTAAGTTCTTTTGATTTTTAAAAATTGAGATAATTTTTCATTTTGTGACAAACTGCATTTTTCAGTCATCACTATAGTTCCTGAAATTCCTGATGAAGAATCTTTTTCTTTCATGTTTACCATAAGTTTGAATTTAAAGAAATATTGTATACAGTAAGTAGTAATAAATAGTTTCTCCGTTTGAAAAAAATAGACATCACATAGTAAAGCCCAGGTAAAAGGTGACATATACCTTATGCATTTCCTAGAACTTATCTGTTCTTGCTCTAGATTAGTGGTGTCAAACTCAAGGCCCACCGGACGGATTGTGTCTGCAGGGTGCTTAGATCTGGCCCGCGGGGCCAGCCTGGAAATATCAAAGGACCAGCCTGCGGTGCCTCTGCTAGCAAAAATGGGAAGTGGGAGAGCACATGCGCCCCAGTCAGCCCATTTTGGCCAGCAGGGTGCTGCAGGAGGTGTCTATCCCATCTGCCATCTGCCCATCTTCCCCTCTTGGCCAGCCCACAGAGGACAACTACTATGCAGATCCGGCCCTCAAAGAAATCTAATTTGACACACACACACACACACACACACACACACACACACACTGCTCTAGATAAAGAAACATTTGCTCAATTGCATCTATTTTCATTCTAAAATAGGGAAATGTGTGTTTGCATTAACACATTCCATTCATTGATAATTACTGGCAAAATCTCTAAAGTACAAAACCTTATAAAAAGGGAGACAAGGAACAGTTCTTTGTGGGCACACATCCATTTCAAAACTTTGGATTGAATAAATATATATTCTTTGACTCCACTGATAATCCCTGATCATCCCACTAATGCATCCCACAGGCTGGATGCATCATGTACAAGACATGGCCACCCCAACTCCGGAAAAGCAAAAAATGTCATAATACATCCCGTGATGTCACATGACACGATCAAATTTGACACCTGTGTTATAGATCCAAAATCCCTGTCAATATCAATGGTTACTTAGCGTGTGACTTGGAATCTGCTAGCAGTCAGGCAGATTGGTGACAATTCTGCATCAATGCTCTGTAAGTTTCACTCATAATGTGTAAGCAGTTTTTATCTATTGCTGCATATTGATACCTACAACAGCTGCTTCAAAAAAAGAACTTGGTAGACAAAAATCAAGTTATATGATATTTTTTTCTTTTATTCCTGAGCTAACTGATAAGTCACTACCAGCCACAATACACATCATCGGTTGCATCTCTTGATGTTCGGATCAGAGGTGGCGACATTATGTTCAAATCTATATTTTCCCCATGCAATGTGGAATTAAGAGATACAAAATTGAGGAACTATTTTAGCTACATATACTAATCTAAGTCATATCAAATTAAACCTCTAAGAAATAGGGAGAAAATTGGATATTAAAAACAGAGAACCTGCTGCTATGGAACCAAGGAAATAATATTTATTAGATAAATAATGAAGAAACAAGTTTTACCTTCATTTCCTTCTCCAGGTGGATGATAAAATGAGAGTCCAAGAGATATAATGGCTGCGATTTCCAAAATGATGAGAGTCACATCCTGTAATGCTTCCCAGACTAACTGTATGAAAGTTTTTGGCTTCTTTGGAGGTATAAAGTTTTTCCCAAAAATTAGCCTTCTTTTATCTAGGTCAGCAGTAGTGCCAGGTAATCCTACAGATCAAGGAAACATTAATAGTGAGTGACAAGTCTGTTAATATTTTTTTGACTACAGTTTAAAATACAACCATTTTTGCTTTTATCATGTATAGCTCATTAGATTTCCAATTTTATATTATTTTTTTTGGCAAACTCATTCTCAGCTAATGTATCACAGAGACTTCTGTGGATTTGCAAACGCAATTTGAGAAAGACATTTCTTCTCTAGCTTTTCCGTTAGGCAAAGAGAATCGTAAAGAAGCACAGTCAAACAATCTAACTTGTGTTTATACAATATGTCAAAAAGTGGAAGCAAAACAAGAGATTAATTTAGCAAATAAATTTACAAAATTTCAACTATATTAGAGAAGTGATAGATAAAAATATGTTCAGGATTTCCTGTATACGGTTTTATAGCTAAGAAAAGTATTATAGGTTGCATTTATTGATAATACTGCAACTACTGCAACGTGCTCTACATGGGGCAGCCCTTGAAGAGCATTCGGAGACTTCAGCTTGTCCAGAATGCAGCCGCGCGAGTGATTGTGGGTGCACCTCGGTACACCCACGTTACACCTATCCTCCGCAAGCTGCACTGGCTGCCTACTGGTCTCCGGACGCTCTCCAAGGTGCTAGTCGTTACTTTTAAAGCCCTACATGGTATCGGACCTGGGTACTTGAGAGACCGCCTCCTGCCAGTTACCTCCCAAAGACCCATCAGATCCCACAGACTAGGCATCCTCCAAATTCCATCTGCCGGCCAATGTCGACTGGCGACTCCTCGG